AAAAATGATAAGCAACAGCTAAAAAGTAAACGTAAGTAAACAGCCAGAAATAGAACCAGAGCTTTCGGACAACACTAGTCCTTCCTCAGTGGGGAGATATATATATATATATATATATGCTGGCATCTTGACAATAAAGTTATTTCTCCATTTTTGATAGAATGGTTTCACTGAAACACAAGACTATTGAAATCTGTAAATCACACAATGGAAGGTCTTGAGGAAGGCATGCCTTCTGCCAACAACCTTCCTGTCAATCACTGTGTTGTCAAGGGATCCTTTAATAAAGTTTTCATGACTGGTGAGAGCAGTAGTATATCAGGTATAACATTTTATTTATTTTTTAAGCGTAAAAAATAAGTAAAAATCAATAACAATGTTGTCAACAACAACATTTCTGCTGTTATTCTTGCATTGTTTCCAGTGGCGGCGCAAGAGTTTGAAAACCGGGGTGGGGAGGGGGCAAGTGAGGGGCAAGATATAATTATAGGGGGAACACGTGCTTGGGTCGACGTGGTCAAGTGTTGCTCAAAATATGTTGAAAGTGGTCCAGGAGGCGAAAAATATGACAATATAGAGATTTCAGGCTTATTTAATCAATTTTATAAATAGATAGTCTACTAATATGTAGAAAATATATATCATTTTTTTTCTCCTCTACGTATTGTGTTTTTTTTTTCTTTTTTGGGGGGTGGGGAGGGGAACTTGGAGGCAAGAAAATTATCTGGGTTATCTGGGTGGTGGCAGATGTATTGGAAAGTGCTATCTTGTAATTATAAGATCTTTGATGATGATTCAATTCTTTTTTATTAGTGAATGTATTTAAAGAGAAAGAGGAGGAAGAGATATCAAATAGAGACAGTGGCTATGACGATGACCCCTACCAAATGGACTCGGCAGCTAACGACCAAGAGGTCATCGGTAAAGATCAGTGTGAGAATGACGATCCAGTTCCTATGGAGATGGAGGAAAGGCTAATGTCATGTATCGTTCATGGCTCTGAAAACATGGTGATAATGAGCGGTGACAAGAGCACGATCAAAGGTGAGATGCCAATTTAGTTTTTAATATGAAAGTATATACATTACTCAGAGTATTGACAAATCCATTGGAAAAGGGTGCTCTCTCTCTTGGCTCCTCCATTTCTGGGGACCCCCAAGTGCATTTCCTGTCCCGTATTCAGTGGTTCAAAATATTTAGAGTAGATTTCGATGAGAATAAAATACTGTATGTCCTATCATTTCAATATTCACATTTGTAGCAGATAATACGTAAGAATCCTCCACGAGAGATCCCCAGCTATGGCATCTGAAGAGCCTGGATACAGTAATAATCACTGTAAATGGATTAGTCTATACAGTATTTTGCATTTATTCTATACTTGGATTTTTTTAACATAAAATTTAATGCATTTGTGTTACACTTTTAGATTATTTGAAGGGGGTGGCTTAGCACTTCATAGCATCTTGGAAGAGGGCTACAAATATGATGTGATATGATATTACTTTATATTCATTCATCCAGACCTGTTTATTGATTGATTATAAATGTGAAAATATTAAATAACAGAAAATTGACAGTACATACAAGATAAAATTGTGGGGGTGGGGGAAGTGGGTGCAATTTTAACAGCTGACTATCTGTTGGAAGATCAGAGTATTTGTTTATCCCTGAAGGAAGTCCCCACCCATCTATACAAGATCCAACCACCAAAATAATTACTGTACTTACAAAGGATTATTTAACAAAATAATTTCAATTCTGTGCGAGGTAAAAGAATAGAGTCACATTTTAATTAACAGGATTTTATTATATATTATTTCTTTTCTGCATTTTAGTTAACTCAGGTGATTCCAGAGCTGAGGATAACATTCCTGAAAAAAATTATAATTCGGATATCAATGCAAACAATAACAACATAAACAATAATCCGTGTCCAGTTCAAAAAGTTGGTTTGAATTCTCTCCCGAACATAAATTCAGAAAGTAATGCAAAACTTCTGGATGATGGGATTGATGTTGGTGAGCGACCGGTCGCTCACGTCCAACCAGTGCCTCGGGAGATACAAAACAATCAAGAAATGCCTTCCATCTCAAGATCTCATAGTAGCAATACATCAACCTCAAGTGAATTTGAAGCACAAAACATGTCTGTTTCTCATGAAATCTCGCAGAGTGCATCAGGACATTCCCGTAGTAGACCTACTGATGAGTCTTCACAAATGAACATTGACCCTCCAGTTACATGTTCGAAACGGAGGATGGATGATGAAGAAAACAGGGAACAATTATATAAAAAACAGAAAGTCACAACCCCTCAAGGTAAGCTAATAAGCCAATTCGTAGTTACAACTGCGCATGCCCATATCAAGGTCAGTCGACATAAACGGCATTCACACACCTTAGGCTTATGCCGATTGACCTTGGATATGTACGTACAAGATATTATCTCTTGCGTACGACTTAATATCTTGTACATACAAGTTAATATCTCATACATATGAGATAATATCGTACGTATGACTTAATATCTTGTATTTACAAATTAATTATCGTGTACGTATGACTTAATTATCTTGTATGTACGAGATAAATATCTAGTACTGCTCATTTCCGGACAGTTAGGCTTAGGCGTAATCATGCATCTATTTATACTTTGATATAATACTGTTAGACTTTGAAAATTGTTGTTGGTATATAAGGAAATGAAAATAAGACAGTGTAACAACTATTTATGTGGCCCGGGGATGATAAAATGTCAAGTGGGGGGTCTCAAGTATGTTTGCTCTCAAGACTTTGATGGGTGGGTAATCTCCTTGGCTTTATTGTGTTTGGTACTTAAAAGGAGCTCACCTCCCCTTCTCCCACTTTGGTTTTGGGACCCAGCCTTCATGCTTCCCCCTCCCGACAGGTCATACGCTTTATATGGTTCTTTGAAAAATTGGTCTCGAATTAGAGAGGTTTGGAATTAGAGGTTTTGTATTTTTACACAAAATAATTGTTCCAAAAACGGATTCAATCAAGAGTGGTAACAGCCCATTTTCAACAAGGTAATTTTACACTAGACGGGGACCTAGGGAAACCCCGTCTAGAATCTCTGGGCCTCCAATATTTTATCTTTCACCCTAACCTTCGCCATGGTGAACGTTGCAATGGTCTGGGTCTGCGCCTGATTTCTGCTACCTTCAGTGGCATAATGCCCTTGAGCTTTCAGGGTGTAGCCTGGGCCACCACTAAAAAGGGTGCCCCAGTCCTTCTCACCTTAACAATCTTAACTGTTTAAATTCATATCAACAATACAATACAACAATTATTTTTCTTAATACAAACCCCCACATCTGCCCCAGAGTAGTCATTTTCTATTATCAAACACCAACAACCATTTTCAAAGTCTAAAAGTGCTATTATTAGGCCAAATAAAATAAATTGTTTGTTTGGCCTTCTTTTTTTAAAAATGATAAATAGAGGGTGCATGGAAAAAGTTTTTTTTTTTATTATTATTTATTTTTTTTAAATACTCATCAGATGGAATAAAAATAACCCACAGAGACCTAGAATGGCAATATCTTACATCAGACAACAACTTTAGACTAATTTGTAGGGCATCTGGCAAAAAATAAAGATAAATTCACTCACATTTTTTTTTAATTTGTAAAGAAAAAAAGCTAAAAAAAAAACTTTTTATAAGTTTTTTTGTCTTTCCGTCCCTATTTTTTTCAGTGAGTTAGGGGCGGGTGGAGGAGGGCAAACAAATAAATTTTTTTTTTTGGCCTTATATCGGAGTATAAATTATGCATGGTCTAAGCCTGCTGTCTGGAAATGAGCAGTCGGTGCTTCATACTAGATATTTACCTCATACATACATGATAATTAAGTCATAATAATTAAGAGATAATTAAAAGATAATGAAGAGATAATATCTTGTACATACGGCCTAATTATCTCGCACATAATGCGTTTGCAGAAATATGGTTCCGTAAGTTGGAATGCATCTGTACAGAATGAGGAAGAAGATGGGGTAGCCGTGTTAGTCTAGATGGTAACAGTAAATGAAGGACAAACAGCACTTTTAAGACTAAGGCTGCGGTCACACTAGCGTCTCAAGCCTGGCTTGACTCACCGCGGGTGAGATTTCAAGCCAGGCTTGAAATTCTGCATTGGTCATACTAGTTGGATTGACCTCGAAATTATGAAAGTCGAAACAGCAGAGCCGTAAAGAGAGAGTTTGGCCAACTCTGTTTCACAGGATTCGATATACGCGCGTGTGATTGGGTGGATTGCAATCAAAGATTTTACACCAGACGTGCCTGAACCACTCTTCTTCAACTGATCTTTTATCAGCTTGTATTGGGCTCGCAATGCCTTCACTTTTGTTTGAATTTGGGCCGTCGTTCTCTTCTCATGTCCGAGACTGGCTAATCTGTCAGCAAGCACTCCAAAAATTCCCGTTTTGTTGTTTGTTTTTTTATTTTCTATCCGGTCTGTCAGCTCGGGTTTGTCCCACAAATCTACCAGGTCAGCAGTTTCCTGGTCGCTCCAAATCAATCGCATTATTATTAATTAAAATTTGAATTAAATTTTATGAAAAGTAATGATTGCGTCTTGATTGAACACACATGTTATTATTACTCGCGGGTTGTTAATTCAAGAATTTCTAAACGTAACACCGTCATCGACTGTGATTGGTCGACAGCTGACGAGGAAATGTCAATCTCGGTCACGCCATGGTCAATCCAGGGTCAATATGGGTGCTGAGCCGGGATCGAGATAGGTAGATTGAGATTGAGGTCCCGCCAGGCGTTAGTCGGTGCAGATGCGGTCGAAATTACGAAAATCTCACCCGCGGTGAGTCAAGCCAGGCTTGAAACTCTAGTGTGACCGTAGCCTATACTGTATAATCAACACTGTTGTATTGAGTTGGATAAGATGCATCCATATGGAATTAAGGTTATTTTCAGTTGAAAAAGAATGCATCCATATGTAATCAACAAGATTGTTTCTGAATAGCATACACCCATGGAGGAATTAGTTGTAAACTAATTCCTCCATGATACATCCATGTGGCATCAACAAGGTTGTATTCTGTTGGATAGTATGTATCCGTATGGAATCAACCATATTCATGTATTCTCCAGGATTAGCTACTTTCGTATGCAATAATATATATTGCATAGGTTGTATCTGTATAGATTTATCAAAACTGTTCTGTTTATGTACAAGATTTGTTATCGTGTCTTCTTAATCATTTAATTTTATATATTTTACATTTTCACAGAGTGTGCTGGAAGATCTTGCCAAACTTATCATCGGGTGAACATAGAGGGTTCCAACAACACTGCAATTACAGCTGGTTCAGGAAGCACTGTAAACTTAAACTGTAAGTTGTGTGCTAAATTATTAGGTTATGAATGAAAATATATATTAATATGTCAATTATGACATCATCATTTTATCTGCAATGTTATTTCTCCTATCTTGAAATGTTAATTTTTGTTATTAAATGGGGTTTTTTTTTCGGATTGTGTGCAAAAAATTAAAAAAAATACCTGTTTTATTGCTTATTACTCCCTGGTACAGGCTAGCCTAGCTAGCTGCTATAAACAACCTTGCATTTATATGCCTAGAGCGCTGTCTATATCGCATTGTGATAGCATTCTTTCCTATGCATGACCAAGAAACAAATTTGAACAGGCTCACGAAATTCGCTTACGTCTGAAGAATCTAAGGCATTCATAGATTCTGTGGGAACCAAGGCCACAAAACGAAAATGAAAAATTTGGAATAGGAGTATTTCAGGAGTATTTACTGTAGTCTCAAATGGAGCGGCTGGATAGCCTAGGTAAGCAGTTAGTCATTAGTTAGCAACCACACAAATCCAGCTAGGCCTAGACTAGTCCTAGACTAGGCTAACAAATAAGAGATGGTGACTGATTACTACTTAACGTCCAGAGACTACAGATAGGTGTAATGGTCTAATTATTGTTTCAAATTATATTCTATATTTATTATAACATACAGTAGTATTGATAATTTTAATATTCAAACAAAAAAAAAAAATGCCTTGGACATAAGAAATTTACTATGAATACAGCTGAGCGTAAGGAGAAGTGAAGAAGTTGAAGACTGTTATTAATATTATTTATTTATTATCTCTCAATTTTTTCCCCGCAGATTACCAATGCAAGCACGCACAAGACGAAGAAACCAAAAAGGATGACTATAGTATTGACCACATCGATGGTGAAGTATTAAAAAGTAAGATTTGGGTGATTTTCTATGTTTATTTCCAATGTCTATTTCATATTTTATTTAAGCTGCTTAAATGTTTATGGTGTTAAAAGTTATATACCATATTTATTCAAATAAACGCCCAGCTTTGAATAAATGTTCTTGATGTTCTTCATGGATACATGGTAGAACAGCCTCCTTACAGAATGTGCTTACTACGTTAAAAAAAGATATTACTTATTTTCATGTTGTCGTTATTGATTTTTAAATATTTTTTTCCAGAAACAGGAATGATGTCATTTTTTGAGCGTATCTCTAAGCACATGGGTAGTACACGTGATATATGGAAGCGCCTTGCACGAGAGCTTCCTATGGTTGGCTATGAATCGCTAGAACGTGAGATCAAGGTGCTGGAACGGAAGCAGCTAACAACGGAGCAGAAGGCCTTCACTGTCCTTGTTAAGTGGTGGAAGGGGAATTCCGGTGCTAAAGGCATGAAGAGAACGTTGGTGGTTGCTCTACGACAAATAAAGTTACCATGGCTGGCAAATTCCCTTGAAAAGGAGATAGAGAGTTTTGCATGACTGATACTCCTGTTATATAAGTTTCGAGGCTGCTTTAATTTATCTAATAATGTTTACCTGGCAGCTTGCAAGGCAGGTTGCCCTCCAATTCAAGACCCCCTTTGGGACCTGAAAATTTTGGGTAGTCTCAGGGTTTGGTTTCCAATTAGAGGGTTAGCTCTGTGTTAAAAGATTGAAGATTGTTATTTGGTTGTTTGAAAAAAAAATAGTCTCTCAAATTAGAGGGTTCTCTGAATTAGTATGGTCTTGAATTGGAGGATGCACTGTAATACTATTTGGAAGCTTATATCCAGTTGGTAATAGTATTTTGTGAATGGTATGACCAGTAGGTTATAACACATAGTGATGGTATAACCAGTTCTGTACCAGTAGGTGGATTCTATGACCTGCTTGGTCAAGCTGGTGATATTAATTGCTAGTCATATAACAGGTGGTTACATTCGGTGTTTAGACAACCATCTGATGAAAATTAGTCAATTAGTATTGCTATGAGGGAAACAAAACTTAAGGGGAGGGTGGCTCCTTGATTAAATGAAGTGCATTACTATGCTCTTATTTTCCCAATTTTCCATGTTAAAACAACACTTTTTAAGGATTTGATGATAGTTTCTGCATGAGAAATGCCCGAAATCATAAACTTTGAAGGCAGATTTCTCATATATTTTTTCTTTAAACAGCTGTATGTTTAAACGCTTGTAACTTTCTAAGGAAATGTTGGATTTGAATGATTTTTTTACCATTTTATAGCTCTGGTATTAATAACTCAACATTTTTCCAAAAGAGTGAATCGTTTTGTCTTTACTACATATCATTTAGAACAATTTTTTTACAGGGTTCTAGATCCAGATGCAATTACATCAATACCAATACAGAGAAGCACTATAAAACATTTTAGGAAAAAAGTATCTTAATATATATATATATAATTTTTTCTTGATAAATATTGTAGTACATTTAAAAGTATTGACAATCAGCTACGTCTTCATATGTATAGAAACAGTTACCTGTATGTCTGAAGAATCGGTGCATCATGTTGAGCATCATGTTGTGAGCTAGCGAGCCCTCACCTAGGCCTCTAATTATTGGAGTACAGAGCGGTCTATTGGTGCCTCTGATTATAGTTGGTCTTGTTGTCTCACAGTTTTTTGTTATACAGTTGAACTTGCCTAAGTCGAATCCAAAATGGCATTAAAAAGTTGTGCTACTTGGATGAAAATCGACTTATAGATGGTTAATTAAGTAAAAACACAACAATTTGGCATGTAAAATAAGTTTGAATTAGGCAACGTCTTAGACTTGGACAAGTTTAACTACATATTAAGATATTTAATTGTTTACTGATTTGTGTGTGTGATTTTAATTCTCGTAATTTTAATATGCAACTTATGTTTTGTATACTACCAGTCAGTGTGATACTTTCACAGGTGATCAAATCCATGTGTTACAGAATACTTAATCAGGGTTACGACTTACCGCCCAAAAACTGGAGGAGGTCTGCATTTAAAAATGAAAAATTGATATTCGTATATATATTTCCAATGCTCTCCAGAGTATCGGAGATCATGCAAGCAAAAGGGTCCACTTTCCACTGAAACGAACCTCCCACAAATTAAGTGATGCTACGGGCCTGTTGATCTACATTGTTAGCTGTTACTAATTGTCTAAAAATCCTTATTTTCAAGGACTTCTTCTGTAGGAAGCAGCCTGTGCCAGGCCTGCTTGCGGTACACCACGTAGATAGTTCTGAAGAGAACTGTTGTTGGTTGAGAATGTCTCGACATTCCAATCTTCTTCAGGAGAATAATATCTGATAGTATTGTTTTAAGTTAGAAACATTTTGTCTTTTAAAATTATACACTTCAAGTATTTTTTCATGCCTAAGCAAGTTCATAACTAACCACTCAACTCTCACTTAAAATATAGGGTGTTTGAATTGGTACATTATATAGTAATATTAATATAATAGGGTATTTAAACGGCTTATTACATAAATGTATGTGTGTATGCTTGTGAAAACTGCCAATTCTTTTTTGTTTTACTACTGCCCTTGTTTTTACGACTGCCCTTATTTTTACGATGGCCTGTATATTTACAACGGCCGGCCGTTAATGCCAAGTTCAGTACTTGTATGTAATTCCCTACCATCCTTACTTAAGAAAAACACATAAATAAGTTTTAAGCTGCTGTAGGCTTAGTATTAGTAAAATAATGTAAAATGCTGCATTTTTCGTTTTAACAAGTGTCCTTGCCAAAGATAACATTTTGAAATGAAATTTTCATAAATATTCATCAATTATGGTTATGAATGTGCATACATTTCATAAATATTCATCAATTATGGTTACGCATGTGCATACATTTGCATAAATATTCATCAATTATGGTTATGAATGTGCATACATTTGCATAATAACCTCATGAGTATGCAAATATCCTAACCATTAGTAGGCCTTATCCAGACTTGTATTATGCTTGCATGCTTTAATTTGTTCCAGGATTTAAATAGTTTGAGTATTAATGAATATTTCACAAGTTACAATTCCAATCAATGTATCTACAGTATACATAAAGTTATTCCTCCAGTTCTATTCCACTAATATAGGGTAGCCAATATTTAATGGCAGTTTCCATGATTTTTAGTATATTGCGCTTGCAGTATTGAGGCAATGTACAGCAGTACAATGTGTTAAGATTAGTGTTAATGAGTGTGGATGTGGGGTGTTTGAGCACCTAGTGTAAGATCCACTCGTAATTCCATCATTTGTTTTTATTATTGCTTTAGTTTGCTGTGTTCTTGTTAGCTTTTAATAGTTGAATTGCAATTTTTAATTTGCATTCCTGTACTAACTTATAAAACATAGAAAATTCAAAGTAGTGTAGAGTAAACCTACCAAATTCCTGCAAAAAGGATAACCAGGCTATACTAACATTTGCATGAGTGGCAGGACCATGGTCCAATGGATGCAGGCTGGGGTGTTTCTATACCTATTTTGCTATTTTGGGGTCCAGAGGAGCTAGCATTCAGTTTTAGCAATTTTAATATCTTATCTAAAATGATATTTCATTTGTTTAAAGATTTTTTGGCAGCTGTGTGTGGAGAGGGGTTGCAAACAGTGGTGGGACAAGCATCTGAAATCTGGTTGGGGGAATGGGAAAAGTGAGGGGAAAGGTTAAACTTTATGGGGAGGGGACAATATGTTTTCCTATAGCAGACCAGAGATACAATTTAAGATAAGAGATAGGGAAAATTTACACATTGCTTGTATTAATTGTGATAAGCGCACTATTGGATAAATGAATGCCCGGTGTCAACTTCATTAAAGCAATTGATAAGTTGATAGTATGTCTTGAAACGGGGGTTCTGAAAGGGGGCCCGAAGTTGAAGGGGGGCTCAATGATCAGTTGAAGGATGCTAATTCGACAAATAAGGTGATTGTAGGTGATTTTTAACTACTTGACTCTGGTTTTTTTGGGGCGTGCGCACCTCCCTAGATACGCCACTGCACCTTCATGGAGACACGCTCCTCTCAGAGGTGAAGCGACGCTTCACTGAAGTTGTTTGTTATTAAAAATTTGTGAAGTATAGTGCCATGTCACTGTTAGTTTTTGGAAACAAAAAGGTTAGCTCTACTGAGGATAGGAGAAGTGAGAAGAGTTTTATTGTGAAAACAAATTTTCAAGCTGGTCTTGTTACATTTATTCCAATATAAAACACTCCAAATTTATTCCAATGGTTTTTACATCAGGAGGTTTAATACTAATGGTGTTTTGCCCTACCTGACGTGTTACCGGTCGTACAGAATTTCCAGTATGTTCAGGGGCGTACCGTGGGGGTTCGATGGGTGCGGTCGACCCCCCTTTTTAAAGAAAGTGCCCTTTAAATATGCTCGCTTCACTCACAAATAACGCACCCTGCGAATTCTGAAAGCTTCGCTAAATTGCTCCGAGTTCAGCTTGCCCTCTGCGCTTTCGTTTCGACACCCCCTTAGATTTTTCACCGTACGCCCCTGATGTTCCCAAATACTTAGGTATTATGTATGTTACATTTTTGTTGAGCTCAAGTATTTCTTTTGTAAAATTCCAGTTTTGGTTGTACCAAGTTCATATTGTACTGTAATTGAATAAATTTGATATGTTAATGATTTTGGCTATTTCTGTCATTTTGTTTCTAAGGTCTAACAGCTGCATCTCATGAAGTGAAACTATCATAATAATATTAGTAATAAAAGTATAAAAAATTTTTAAACGTTTGGATTTACTGTATATATAATTCTTGGGTGACAGACAGTGCGATTGCACCCTCATAAATTGTATTAAGAAAATAATTGTTGTATTGTATGGTTGATATGAATTACCAGCAAGATTTTTAAGGTACGAGAGTGCAATTTCCAGGCACTAAAGGTCCATATTCTCAAAATTTTGCCACCTCAGCCCCAACCATGGTGGAGCTGAGGTGGTGTGGACTAACGCACTCCCTACCATCAAATCCTGCATCTGCCCAGTAATTTTAATGCACGATCACACCACTTCCAAGTACTGTACTATCTCTCACACCGCTGGCAAAACAAAAATCTCCCAGAAACTATTAAACCTGCTTCCTGCAGAATAGATATTTACTTAGTTTTATAGATATAAAGAAATCTCATTAAACCATATAGAGAGATGAACAGACATATAGGTATGCAATTACTGTAAAATTTATTAAGAAAAGCACAAAATTGGTGAGCATCGCATATTAAAATTATATATGTAAATTTATAATAATTATATGTTCACTGTAATATGCACTTATAATGTTACATTTCTCCAACATTTGGAAGACCATAAAGAGAAATTAGGCTCATTCTTTTGAAGCTTTCTCATACAATGTAATTTTGTTTGTAAAAAGTATAAAAATCTTTCGATACTTACAAGTACATGAAATACCCGACTCTAATTTCCTGAAATTTATTGGAGCGGTTGGCACAGTGCTTCCATTTCGAGCGCTGAATATTGAGGTCAGAGGTTTGAACCCCATGATGTGCATTTCATTGGACAAGGTATGTTAACTACACTTGTCTCCCCAACCTAGGATATAGGTGATACCTAGTAGGTTTGAGTGCCCAACTCTAGTTATAGTATTAGCTGCAACATGAAATGCTCTTCCACTGAGTTGAGTATGTGTTTCACAGGCTAGCCTGGCTTTGAGCCCTTTACACTGTATATTGATTTCAGCCCAACAAGTGAGCCTTGATTATTTTTCAGTCTCAGCTACCTCGCGTTGCTTGCAGGGGTAATAAACTGCATAGAATCCTTTTTGCCATGATCAGATATAAGACTTTTTAATTTTAGCATTTTATACAAAATTTAGAATAGATTTAATAATATTTTTTATGTACAGATGCTGATATAGTTAATCAAGAATACCATAGTGTTTCTGAATAAACTTTATTAAAGTTTATTACAATTATTATTTTTTTAAAGACATTCTGTCTGAGTTGAGTTGATAAACTTGAATAGATTCAATAAATTTGATATCAAGGCATTCAGAGGAAATCAAATGCTACTTACATAAAGAAACTCTGTCTCATACAAAGCTCAAAGTTGTGTTAAAGTTGAGATTAAACCACTTACCTCCTTCAATAAAAAATGTAAATCATTCTAAAGTTGTTTAACCATTTTAAGTGTAGCAGGCACTTCACATATTTCAGCAGGCATGCAAAAGTGTTGCCTGTATGTCAAATATGTGTGCAGCACACTTTTTTTTAGCTAAACTTGCGTACTTAACAATTTGCTCATCAACATCAAAAGATCTGGTTCTCTTTAGAATTTCATCAGTCAACAAATAGTTATTAACTTTTAAAGTTTCATATTTCACTCCAATTTCAAGGTTATGGCTTTAAAAAAAAAAAGTAAAAAATTTCTAACAACTCATGAAAAGCACTAAAGTCTGTTTGACCTTCATGGTTACAGAGCATCAGGGGTTCCAAATGATCAGCTTTGCTGGATGAAGCACCCCTAAATATAAATGGTATCACCCTCAATAAATATGGTGCACCGCAGTGCTTATAAAATTTTTGGAGGCTTTATTTAAGATTGGCGCTTATCCGAAAGCGTCGCTTATAAAAGAATATTGGCGTGTCGCTTTCCATGCCCGTTCCTACTTGCCTATTTCACATATTCCTGTGGTTCAGCAGACCTATCATAGGTCCAATCATTGTAAACAGATGTTTATAAAGAAATGCTTGTGTCTTCATTGTGGTAGTTATTCACTGTATACATTGTAGTTAAAACCTTGTTTCATTACACACGGTAATATTATATACTCTTGATTAAGTGCTGCGGCACTTATTGACGAACAGCGCTTAACAAAATCATGTATGGTGCGGCACTTATTTGAGAGCGGTGCTTATTCAAGCATTTACGGTAACAACAACATTATCTGTTAAATAATAGTAATTATAAACTTCACATTGGTATATTTGGTATGAAAGAATTGCATAGCATTAATAAGAAAATTATTGTTGTCTATCATTGAAGTAAAAAATACCTTCGTGGTGAAATAAAGATTAGTGTTTCTTGCCAATTGGGTCGGACACCATGTTTAGCAAGAATATAGTATAAAACCTACCTACCATTAATATATAAAGTAATATCTATATGACATGGAACATATTTATTAAAAAATGATTTCAGTATTACTACACAATATTTATATATATATATATATCTGTCTCTTATACACATCTAGATGTGTATAAGAGACATATATAGTATATTTCAGGTATATCAACCAATCATAGTGAACTATTATCATATGCATATTAAGTATATTTTTACCACTATAGTGTGCATAGACATTTGTATAACAAGCTTTGTTTAGGTATTTATTGCATTCCTTCCAAAAGGTTAGCCACTGTCATGAATTCCATCAAATTGAAATGTTGAATCTGAAAGATAACATAAAAAAAGGAAATTTAATATTTAGGGTTTTAAAACAATAATGAAATGATATAGAGATTACAATATGTGCTAAAACAAATAATTAGGCCCCACTCTTGCTGTCTTTCTCGATGCTTAATAAAAAAAAAAAATGAAACGTACCTGAGTATTATACATTCTGTTTAATAAATTAAATGATCCATCACATAAGAAACTAAATAAAAATCACACATACTTAACTAATCAAACTAATGAACAATTAACATCTAAACCATTAAAACGTGCTATTCCTTTCACCTCCATGCTTAATCTAAAATTTAATGATCAATACCACTCTCAAATAATTTCATCTGGTCCCATGGTGTATAATAACTTTTTTCTTGAACCAATTAGGGGTTTGTTAGCCTGAAGAAAGTTACTGTTGTACAGTAATTGCTGAAACCAATTGCTCTCCCCTGAAATCCCTCAAAATAAGATATATATATTTCTTCCTTTATTTTTATTTAAATTTATTTAATTATATATAAGTATTTATCAATTTCATTATTACACTGTACAGTCATCAATAAAATTTTATTTTTATTTTCTCCTCATTTGGCAAGATCATTTTGCTAAATAGGGAAACAAAATTATATTTTTTTTTTCCGCCTTTTTCTGAGGATCTTAAAAAAAAGTTTGCTATTAAACAAGGTATTAAAAAAGTCTCAATAAACTAATTTGTTTTCGACACAATAGTGGTACCAGCAGGGGGGGGGGGGCATCCCCCCACTCTTGCCGGACGATATCACAATGAGATTGTAGGACAAGAAATATTAATTTGCCTATTCAAATAACGCTACTTTGATTGCCAATCCCTAATATTGTGGTGTAAAAGCAGAATTTTGTGCCATACTAAGCCCATACTCTCCTCATAAACCCAACCAGGATTTTTTATTCCCAGGACCCTGACTGAGGCTCTAGTCGGCCCCCTTGGTTCGGAACCCCTGTGGGCAAATTTTTGGAGCCACCACTGTTTTGAAATCACATACCTCAAATGATCATGCTTTTGTCGTCCCCACTTTCTTCAAACATGGCTTCATCAGGTGGTATATCTCCTTCTGAACCCGTTTCGCACATGGTAGATGCATCCTCGTAATCTAAAGTTTCTTCGTAGAGTAGCCGTGATTCTCCGTGGTTCAAGGTGAAGAAGTCGTCAGGATTCAATCCTTGTTTCTCCATCTCCTCCTTAACAAGCTTTGGTGGATCCAAGTAGAACTACCGTTAAAAGAGAAAAAAAGTTATCTCGTCAATGTGTATTTATTTTTATTGAATACTGCCCTCACTCATTCTACTGAAGATAATTGTAAAATGTGTAATGATCGAAGGTAAATTTACATACCTCGTTACCGAATGGAAAGGTGCCCCAGTGAATTCCGATAGAAGCTGAGCTCTGCAGATCTGTGTGTACTTGGACAGCTTCTTGTGGGTTTATATGCTGGGGCTTCTTAAACCACCTGGAATGTTAAAGTAAATCAAGGTAATCTATGAAAAAAGTTTGATAGGCAAATGTACAAAACATGGTTCTATATTTACTCTCCAAACAGATGTAATAAGCACTATCCTCAAAAAAGTGTCGCACTGACTAAAGCTTCCAAAAATGTCAAGGACTGCGCTTCTTGTTGACATCTTTATGATAAGAAATCCTAATATTTACTATTGTCGCTAGATTTCGTATAAACACAAATTAGATTTTGTACATCGCTATATGCTTTATTTTATTTAACGTTGGTTTTACTTTACACTAAAAAAAGGCAACAACTCTATTCTTTTGTAAAAATCAATACTGTATATTTTTTTTAATTAAGGAATTCACCTTGGTTCATAAGCACCGATAGGAATAGCAGCGAGATCAAACGGTCCATAGCGCCTTCCAATCTGACTAAATGCCTCACAGTATCCAGTATCACCACCAAAGAAGAAACTATGATTTGGACCAAACACACACCAACTTCCCCATAAATACCAACCATTATCATGCAGGGCGCGGTTGCTCCAATGCTGGGTAGGTGTAAATGCGAATGTTATTTTCATATGGTCGGGGTGTCCGTTTTCCTGCCACCAGTCCATCTCGATCACGTTCTCACAGCCCGCTTTCATCATCCAGTTCATTAGGCCGAGCGGTACAAACCACCGTAAACTTGATCCGAAACGAGCGTTCAGGAATTTGACGGTTGGCAGATCAAGATGGTCATAGTGCGCATGGCTTATGAGAACGGCATCGATGCTTGGCAAGTCATACATATCACAGGGTGGCCCACGATAACGCTTTGGGCCAACGTGTTGCGAGGGACTGCACCTCATACTAAAGATAGGGTCCGTTAAAATTGTTATTCCATCAAACTGAACTAGTACGCAGGCGTGGCCAAGCCATGATACGCGAATACCACTAGAAGGTGGAGTTTTCCACTCTTCTATATTTGGAGAAACGATGGGCAATGTTTTGTCTAATACCTAGAAAATAAAAAAAAAAGGAATTGCACAATATTATCATAGTACAAAATACAAGTGGGCATAATTACCTATATACCTGGCAATCTCTCAAGAGTAAACAATATTTTAACCATTTGTTAGTTTGTCCATTTGTCCTTGTGTACAGTACTTTGGTAGATCTGCCCATGATAAGATAGTAGGGGAACATCCATGTTTCCCCTCAGAACTAGCCACTGATACAAAATTTCATTTCCAAATTTTGATAATATATATATCTTCACAAAAATATTTGGTTGTCAATCAATAAAAAGAGAATATAATTCAAGTCACAAAATGTAAATATTGAAGCTATCAATCCAGAAAGAAAACAAATTATGTTAACAACCTTAAAGTTATTGAACTCATTAAGTTCCATAATATAATTTCATATCCCAAATTTATTTCCTTGGAGTACCACAGAAAGCAGACATAAAAACCAGATTTTACCTAGATAAGCACCGTAGTTGATTCAAGTATAAAAACGGAATACAATGCCAATCCGAAATCCCAAACCAAATCAATCAACCGGATAATATAATTTTCTCAGTAAAGATTGTAAGTTGTATTATAGTAGGTACAGTTGTTAAATCTTGGTGGTGACTTTTGGTTCAATATAATATTATTATTAGTATGCTGTGGAAGGTGTAGACAACAATGATAATATAAAAATAATATAATACAGTAGTATATTTTCCAACAGAATTATCAAATATTGGTTTGCAGGCATACGTTTAATGTCTGTGATGAGTCTGCTGCCTTAACAGACAGTGAGGATGTGTTATTCAAAGGAAAGCATGTAATCTGACAGACAGGAAGCAACAAAAGTAAATGTGCATAAGTCATGTTTCTGATTCTGAATTGTCTACTGTATATCAATGTATTTTCTGTTGAATGTAAAGATCAAAGATATATAAAAATATAGGAATTATCCATTTGCTAAAAAAATTATGACTTTGTATATGACTGTGTAAATTTGCTATAAAAAATATGAAATTGTACAGAATACAGGGGTGCAGACTGGTTTCAGTTGGAGGGGGTGTGAAACGGCCCGGGAGGGGGAGAGCGAAAATTGAGAATGCCAAACTAAATCCCAATTCCAAACTTAATGGTCATTACTATATTTTTAAAATTATTCAAAATTTGTAAAATTCATAACTTAAAATAAATCAAGTTAATAATATTTATATAAAAGAGTGCAAGTTATTATCATTATTAATGACAGAGGTCAAGAATAACTTCCATGCAATTAATATTTATGTAGTTGATATTCATTTTTTTTTTAATTAGGTGAATCGTTAAATAACTCATCTCACTCCCTGCTCTAAAGCATAGAGGTACATTATGTGCTATATAAGTTCACAATATTATTAAGTATTTCAACCTACACTTAGCATGACTAATTTGCCACCATAGGGGGTGTGGGGGTGCATCCAATCCCCTGCAACCCCAGCCTATGGTATAACAACAAAAAATACTATGGTACTCACACTTTTACTAGGGATTGCACGATTATTTTTTGAACATAATTTCCACTTTAAAACTCCTGTAGCACTTGGCATTTTCCATGTATCCCAAGGATTTATAAAATTGCCCCATTTTGTCCTTTGTGACGCAGTGACTGATTCCAGTTTGCGAAAGTCGAGTGGACCTAGCTTGATGCCTGATTCGCCCATTACTCTCCTCCTACCGGTGCAAACCGTGCTCAGTTTAGATTTAGGTCTGTGCTCAACGAAGTTGTTATTATTTGTTAACGGCTCAGGTACTCTAGGTGCAATAAACATATAAGGATCTTCTTTCTCAGATGGATCATCTTCACCGTCTGTGATTGGCTGTATCTCAGAAGGCGGTCTACATCCTGGTAGTGTCTCATAGCCAGGGTCATTGTCCTCAATCCATGCGGAATCATCCTGTTCTGGTTTTTCCTCCGGTTGTTCGTCAGCTGGAATCCTCTCATAGATACCAGCCATCTTTGCGTTGTTGTAATTAAGCAACCTCGACTAGACTGGTAAACACGCCCCAGGGCGGCTTGATTGACAATCTGTAGAAGAAAAATCTTGACATCAGTTTGTAACACACACCACAAAGCAAAATTTTTAGTGGGTGAATCATTAATCATTCAACAATGCCTTCCTTCATTGATTTTTTTTTCACTTACCAGTGCAAAAAAAAAAAAAAAACTCAAAATTATTAAATTAACTGTAAGACATGTTTTTCAATAACCAATATCTCAGATGCCTTTTTCTCTACCAAATAATTCTCAGAGAAGCAACAATGGTGAATGTGTTCTTTTCACTAAGTCTAACTCAGTGAAAAGAACACATTCGCCATTTTTCACTGAGTCTGTAGACTCTCATTATTATCAGCTCTATTAAAATAGAATTTATTTTATGACAGCCTTTGGCCTACTGTACACTATGTCAAATATTAATACAAAAAATGAATTATAGTTGTCACAACTCCTGAGAAACGTTTTCTGAAATTACAACTTTTAAATTAAAAGAAAAAAAAATATAGATTCTGAACACATGTTGATTAAATTACATTTCTGGTACACTTAGTAAATTCCATATATCCCAAAATCATCTTAAGCCCAGTCTAGACTATCAAATTGTGTTTGGTAAAACATGTGACATGCCTACATATGGTCTTGATGACATCACATCATGACCATATATAGGTACATCATGACCATATATAGGTACATCATGACCATATATAGGTACATCATGACTATATATGGGCATCATCAGTTTTTTGTCAAAGAAAATGTGATAGTCTGGACAGAGCTTTGCTGATGAAAATACAGTAAATTAGTTTTGTTTTTTTTTTCTTTTTTTTGTTTTTTTTTTTTCTTTTTTTTTATATAAAAAATTATCTTAAATTTGGTATAAATAACCCCTGTACTGTTAAACATTTAAAATTATCAAAAATAAATGTACACAAAAATATCATGATCCAAAATATAATTTGTTATATATATTTTCTGCTCTTCTCTGAAGATCTTTCAGAACTACAGTTTGCTAAACAAGGTATAACAAAATTATTGTATCTAAAAAAATTAATAATTATATACCATGCCACTACATAGATCCGAATCTGGTGTGTGCTTTTGTCTATGCTATGTTATTTACAATATACTCGAAAAGCATTATATATTGCAAAAAATTTTGCTTGTTTTTTTTTGTAATGATTATTATTAGTATTATAATAATTGTAATTAATAATAATATTATTATGATTGTTATTGTTATTGTCTCTTTGTTTTTGTCTATCAATTTTTCATGTTGCCGCTGGGTCGGCAAAATTGTGTTTCAATGTGTGTTTTTGGAAATGAAATTTAAGAAATAGAGAAAAAAAATTACCAAATTTTCTTTGATAAAAAATGTATGTATGCCCATATATAGTCATGATGTGCCTATATATGGTCATGATGTGATGTCATCAAGACCATATTTAGGCATGTCACATGCTTTTTAAAAAAATAAGATTTGATAGTCTGGACAGGGTGTGTATGTGTATGAGTGAAAGGTAATGGATGTGGTGATTTGATAATTGAATGTGTGGGTGCGAGAGTGAAAACATAATATTCACTAACTTTACAATTCACTAACCACAGTTGTTAATTTATAGTCAGTACTAACTTTAGTTTTAAAGTGCTGTTTTCATGAAAATGTAAGTTTAAGATAGTATAGTAATTAGTTGAGAAAGTCCCATGCAGGATCCCATGTTTCTTAAATGATGTATGTGTTTGTTTTTTTGTTTCAGTTACTTGAACTGTATGTACATTAGGATATGGTTGTTAACTTTTATGTGTTACCTTCAATTACTACAGTAATTATTAATACAGCCCTCTTTCTTACAAAGACAAATGCATACTACTGTCTTACTTACAATGCTACCGAATAAAAAATCAATCAATATAGGCTGATACTACTAAATTATGTGACATAAACAATAGTGTAACCATCTTAATAGGAAATAATCATAAACAAAATAACCATAAAATATCTTCAAACTGCACATACTCTATATACAAAATAGAAAAGTAATGACATCAAAATCATAAATTTGAATACTCTATATAAAAAAGATAAGAATTTCTTATAATATTAAGACTAACTGTGCAATGTTGTGGTTAGGAGGTTATGGGCTTGACTCCAACTAGAGATGGTTTTAGCTGTAACACAAAAAACATAAATTCAATCTTCGAACCACTATAATTAGACACTTGGAGAATTGTTCTTACTCAGAATTTGTTTTTTTTATATAAACCTGGTTAATTAAAAAGGCATGATGGTACACTTCACTGCATTCTGGGTAATATGAGTGAACAAGACGCCTTTATTGTTAATCTTTTTCTCAGACGATATCATGCTTGAAATTCAGACTCACTTGGTCAAATTTAATTCACTTTCTGCACCCTCGTCAATTAATGCGACACCACACGTTTCGGATCATCTCTTTTTGGGAGGATTTTTTCCCGAAATGGGAAATTTCTTAATGAGGATTCTAACATACAGTCATATTTTGGTTGAGCCATCTATAAAATTTTACTGAATTCTACAGGAAAGGAGGATTGTTCTCGAATCAAAAATGGATTACAGTACTACAGCAAGCAAAGCGGAATTATTTTATTTTCAGAGGATATATTAAATATATCCTCTAAAAATATTATTAGAATCAATGTCAAATTAAAAAATTCATTTAACTGTTGAAATATGATCAAAAAACATTTAATATTATATTTCAATTTTAAGGCACAATTTTATATTTTAAATTGTGATCATCAAATATGCCAAAAAATACATTCTAATTGTACAGTATATAATTGGATATTCTACTTTATAAGTATAGGTAAAAAATTTACAGCAAAACAATTGAAATATATACAGTTTCTCATGTAGTTTCAGTTCTATTCTACTGTATGTCTGCCTAATATAAAAAAATGTATGCAGTTTAATCATGTATAGATAAACAAGTAGAACCCATACCTGTACTAAAATGTCTCTCACATTAGTGTATAAAGAGTATATTGTGCAAACTTCTACAAAACACGGTTTTTTCACAGTGGTATGCTTTACTGTCGACGTGAATCCCCCAAATAAAAGAGCAGCAAACTTCACTCAAAGGGTATCGCTATCAGATGGCTTAAGTTATTAGTTTAGAAAACTTGATATCCAAGCCACCGTGACTCCAGTTTCATGCATGAGTTGCAACAACACAAAGGCCTATCCCATGTTCAAATATCATTCTGACACTGAGCCTGACTATACAGCACTGTGTATACAGTAGGTCTTTGAAGTCTTTCAAAACAAGTCCGCAACAATGCATTTAATTGTAAAAGAAACAAACTTTGAATACAATCACCTGACCCAAGTTCCTGGTTGCTAAAATATTCCGATTTAGAATTCTTTTAAGTATATTTTTTTCAAATCTGAATGAATTACATTATTTCAGTGAAGGTGAATGATACTAAATTCATAGAAATTTATATATATATATATTCTAATTTTTAAGAGGAATGCGAGTACAAAAAAATTTTCAAAACCAGGATTTGAACCTGCGACCTTCTGCTGTCTATGCAGAAGCCTTAACCAACTCAGCCATTGAGGCTTTCGTGGAAGTTCTAATCCGATTGTAGGCAATTCATGTTGCACTTTTGTATGAAAAAAGGCAAGTATCATTAAATCATAGAGGCCTGGTGCATATCTAATGCCCAGCCACTTTAATACTGACTTATAGTATATGGTCACACACATGAACTTACGGTGTGATTCTATAAAGAAAATAGTCAGCACTAATTTAAATTGTGGCAAAGACAAGCTAAACCAGTCACTTGTCGCGAATCCGGTTTCAGAGATAATGGCCAAAACATACTGGAATGTCAAAATTTTTGAAATCCATTTTATTGCACTAAACTACCCTTTATATATCTACCAGTATATATCATGCTATGCTGTTATTTTCCTCCATTTTCAATGTAAAAACAACAGTTTTTAACGATTTGGTGATGGTCTGTCTGAGAAATGCCTGAATCATAAACTTTGAAGCCCAATTTCTCAAATATTGTTCTTTAAACAGTCGTATGATTAAGCTCCTGTAACTTCATCAAGCAATTTCGGATTTAAATGATTTTTTTACCATTCTATAGCTCTTGTTTAATTTTTCACCTTGTACTAATAACTAAAAATCGATTTTTGCAACAAATGACTGGTTTGGCTTGTCTTTGCCACAAGTACCTAATCTAATTTTATCCTGATAAAAGATAGCTTAAAATTGAAACATTATGATATTTATGTATTTATTAATTACAGAACATTTGCACGTTCTTATCTGAAGTAGAAACATAGAACCTTAGTTGACTAACCTAGCGGCTTGTGTGTACTGGACAGATGAAAATGCATGGATCCCTACTGTACCAGCTCTCCTAGTGTTAAATCTGCGTGGTTTTTTCCAGAAGTTAGTTAGATTATACTTTCTGCATCGCTCTCTGCGTATTAACAAACTTTGTATATGAGGGAAACGTATGGAAGTATTAGACGCTGATGTACAGACCATTGTTCACTTAAGTGATTACGTGGTGAAGATGACTAAAAACATAGACTAATAAATATCACATTTCTAACATCGCAATCCTGAAATACAGTATGTTTTTCATTTAGTACTTCAGACCTATGTTTTCCTATACTGGATGTATTTAGATTCGAGACTCCTTCCTTATGGAAGTGCCTAATTTAATTCCCATCATAGAATAATTATAGTAATTACATACTAGGTATAAAATTCTACAGCTGGGAATATTCCATGTTATTATAATGCTTGAAACAGAGGAGCTGTCGGTTAAATGCAACTGTAGCTTAGTGATTAGCAAGCTCACTGCGGCCGTGGTAGTGTTATGACGAATCTACTTTCCCCCTTAATTTTCCCACGACAAGTTTTAGAGTGCCTAGAAATCACAGTTGCTAATATTAATAAAACTTTACAACAATTTCAAACTTATTTTTAGATTGAACAATGTACCTTCCTGAGCTGACTTTGAGTGTGTATTTTGTTAAACACTGCCACCAACGTCATCAATATATACAATCAAAAGAACAGCGAATCTGCGAGTACTCGTCCTTGCAATAGCAGGGTCTTGGTTAGATCACCGGCAGCTACTGTACAAACTGTGTATTTTTTTTGATCTACTTTCATTTTGCATTGTAAATATCTGTACTGTTAATAAAAATACATTAATATAATAATAATAAATAAGTTACAATATGTACTGGTAGACAACGTCTGCCAAACGACTTAACATCGATTTATGAAACCAAACTGTGACAAATGCCAACTTTAATCTTTTAACAATTTATGGGAAAAAAGTCTTGAAAAACAGGACCATAAGCCAATATTAACTTTGTAATTTAATTTAAACTACTGTACATGTGGTAGATTAATAATAGACAGTCTGGTTTTTTGAATTTCAAATATAATAACAGAAAGTATGATAACAATGAACCAAAATATATGAAAAAACAATACTACTAAAGCAAATATCGTATTGTCACAATAACTCAACAAAGAAAGCAGGGGCGTATGCTCGGGGGAAGGGGGAGTACCGGTACATTAGTCTAAGTAATTTAAGATACTAAATGTGGCCAGTAAGTTCTTATTGGTATAAGGAATTAGTTCCACATTCTGGGATTTAGTTTTACATTCTCATTTTTCATTTTTCATCCACCCTCCACCAGATGTTTTTAATATATATTTTATATGTAAATAATCGTGCCAGTATGTATTTTTTGTATATGATTGCTTGCTGATTTTTTTTTGTTTATTTCTTGAATCTTGTTTGAAAAATAGGCAACTTTTTACAGTACATGACCTCTACATAATATTATATTTGATTTTAAACATAGTGGAAATCCCTTGCATGGCAGTGTGTTATTCAGATTTTTAATATTAACTTTTCTTAGACATTATTTCATGTATAGTACATAACGCCATGCTCAATACATTACTTTTGTACTTTCCGTACATAATAATAACAATAATAATAATAACAATAATAATAATAATAATAACAATAATAATAATAATAACAATAATAATAATAATAATAACAATAATAATAATAATAATAATAACAATAATAATAATAAGAATAATAATAA